ACACCAGCACACCAGCACACCAGCGCCAGCACACCAGCGCCAGCACCAGTACCAGCACCAGCACCAGCAGCACCATCACCATCATCATAATCATCACCACCACGGCCCAGCATCGCCTTCATGGTCGTCATCACCACCACCATCATCACCATCATCACGGCTAGCTGCTTTCTTTGGCCGGCCCCGACCCCAGAAGTGACGACGGTCTCCATAGTCAGACCTTGGTCGATGTGCCAAGGAGGGAATCTATCCATGCTGCGATCTTCGTTAGTTGTCTCAAAGTCAACTAGCAGCGACGTGCAGACTCACTGGAAGGACTGCCGGCAAGCGGGAAATAGACTAGCGGACTGCCGAAAGCTGCAGTGGTTGCAAGCATGATGCATTAAACTACGGTGGTTGCCAGGTTGCTCATGGTGTTTCCGCATGTATGCCTGATGCATGCGTGCATGCCTGCATGTGTGTGTGTGTAACGTATGCTCTGATATAGTCTCTGATATGACGTGCAGGGCGGATAGCTGTGTTGTGACAGGAGACGAAGGGGATGCTGAAGAAGTCGATGGCTGCTTCAGGCCTTTCGAGCTCCTCCTTTGTGCAACAGTTGTGAACATCGACACCAGCTTCACGTTTTCAATCTGGACACAGAAGGTGTCCATTGGCTTGCAACCGCTTGCCACAGAAAGTAGGTTGCCACGCACTCCGACCGCGGTACCGGCCAGCGCACATCCGTTTAGTCTCGTTCACGTAGACTGATTGCTCCCTGCACTGGTGCCTACCGCCAGGGTCGAACAATTAATTTCAGGACAGTCCGACACTGCTTTATCTGCATGCATGTCCCAAGAGTTGGACAGCTGAACAGCACATGTTTAGTCATTCTCAGATGCCGTGCATCGGTTTCACTGTCAAGTTTAGTGATTTGGGCTGGCTCTCTGCTCCCACTATACTACGAAGAGACTAAGAGTGGAAAGCCTTCCCAAAGTCAAGCGCCACAGCTGACCTGCGTGGCACGCGCAGAGCTCTGCACACGGCTCCCTGTAATATGGCCTTTCGGAGGCGAGCCGAATCTCCGTGAGGCGAAGAGACAAAGAGACAGCAGTGGTGGGTGGACCGCACCACAGCAAGGAGCAGAAGTGCACTGTAGGGAGTAGACGCGCATTGTACAAGGGGTGATTTCTTGAGTTCTATAATTAGGTATGAGTTCTGAGTTCCTTCTCACAACGCTGTTCTTGACCGTGGCGGAAGACAGGCCCTACCCAAGCCCTGCTGCGCTTGCAGAAGCGATTTTGATTTTTCGGTTCCGGTTGGCACGTAAGTCATGGTGATTCAGAGATGATGTGAAACATCGTCTGCCTTACGAATCATCTGCACGGCCCGGGGACTGGCACAAGACAGTCTCCCGGCTTAGAGGATCAGGACATGCAGCGCACGGAAGAAAAAACTTTCTCGGTAGGCCTCTTGCTCCCCACCGACAGTTTCCCGAGTCTAAACTGTTTCTTGCATGTCATGACCGACGAGAATTGTTGGCGATAGCCGCACTCCTTCTTGAAGTGCCTGGCGCTCCGGAAGTCCAGAGAAGCGGAGCCCAAAATCTCTGAAAGGAATGGCAAGCATCACGAGAAGCAAACCAACACATTGAAGTTCCGAACTCTCATGGGGTGGAAAGCAGTCGCAAGAGGCCGAAATGTCCCGGCAAGCCCGCCGAATTAGCTGATCGACGGGTGCCAAGCTACCTTGTAAAGCAAGGACCACATCCACGACTGCCAGTTCTGACAGTGTCCAACTCCGGTACTTTTTTTCTTCGCATGTATTCCCGAAAACAGAGACGTTGCTTGTTTCGTAGACTTGCGTGAGGTGTTAGTTGGTCGTGAGGAAACATCGCGAAAGCTCCTCCTGCCAGGTCTGGGAGTTCTGGTTTCCCGCGCCGGAAGCTTCTCCTTGTCAGATGCAGGCTAGGCATGGGGTCTTGCGATTAGCAATTGAACAAAGCCATCTTGGCTTGGTGCCAACAGTGGGTATGACTGTGATGTCTGGCATGAAGTGACACGCAGGCTACGCGTTGAGCCGGGGGCTTGGGCAAGACCCCTGCAGACTGCCCTCGAACCTTCAGAAACTTGTTTGTCTTTGCCGTATGATGTCCCCTGTAGGCCCTATCAGTGCGCGCTTGAAGCTGGCTCATGTACCCAGCGTCCGCATCTCAGTACCTATCTTTCCAGACTCTACAGATGTGGCATCGGTCAGCCCTTTGAGAGCCGAAACGTGACGACTCCTTGGATTTACCAGTGCGAGACGAGACTGAAGCTATGTACGCCCTCTGTCGAAAGCCCCACCAACGACAAGCGAAGCAGACGAAGAAAGCCGTATCGCGAGTGTCGTGATCTGAGGATCAGACGATGTGTCTTCGCCTCGAGGTTGCGACTCAAGAGGCCGAGCGAACTTGAAAATGACGGCACACTGGACACTCTGCGTGTCTACTTTCTGCTTCATCAATCACACTTTTCAAAAGGAGCAGGTGTCTCGCAGCCTCCAGGTGATAGAGCTGTCCATCCTCCGTTCGCAAGTGGCGTGTTTTTCCCAGAAACTGAAGATAGAAGTTCTGCAGGAGCGTGTGCGTGCATGTCCCTCATACTGACTCATACTGTGCATGCTCGCCGCAACTGGCCATCCTCGAGTTGGATTCGATGAGGCACTCCTTGCTGCTTTGGGCGAGTGCAGCCGCTTCTGCCCTTGTCTTGGTATGACTCGGCTGTGCATGCGCTGCATACAGCAAGGGAGTTTTGCAAGCCCAACCTCTTGAAGATTCATTCGTGGGCTTCGAGAAAACAGTGTGAGTCTTCAAGCTTCATGTCCATACTTAGTTGTTGCACCCCGCCATCCTCAGGCCTCGGCGCTGTATCGCATAATGGTCTCGCGGGAGGAGGAAGAGCTCTTGCACCAGGCATGCGGGCATCCGGCATCGTGCAGCGTACTGCTTCCATCGCTGTCGTGCAAATTTCTTTCTTCGAGGATATCAAGGCTTCGCTGGAAGAGTCATGGCCCCACAGTCCTCCACCGGTACTTCCCGGCTGCCGTGCATCGCGAGGTATGGCAGCCTGTACGAGGAGATACTGAAGCACAGGATGCAATTGCAGGGCTCCCAGAAGTGTTTTCCGGGTGAGCTTCGGGCGCGTTTGCCGTCGCCCAAGTTTGGAGGCCAGCGCAAGATGCGCAACCTCTCCCGCAGAAGCTGCAGCGCTTCCAGCACCTGGAGGAGCAAGCGAAACGAGAACGATTTACTGATGTAGACACGAGCGAGCAGTGATATCCAGGATGCACTGTCAGTGCGCCTTCTGGCACGGCAGCAATTGCTCGTCCACAGCAAGGCGGTTCAAGAAAGGGTGGTGCAATGATCGTAATGAAAGGCTTAGGACTAGGAGACGGAAGCATTTGAAGTTTCAAGCTGCATCCTTCAGACACAGAGTTCAGAAGTATTGTCGCTTGTGCCGGTGCCAGCGCTGCCTTGAGACAGTCACGATCACGTCACTGGCTGTCGATGCCACCTCCGTGAGGACAGACGGAAACATGCGTGTATGTGCTGGCTCACTGATATCCTAGCGGCAGAAGCGTCCAGCCGGAGCTGCACATGCAAGCAGTACATGACTACTACTAACCAAGTCCAAGAGCATTTCTCAATCAGCGTGAACAACGCGAACGTTGAGCACTAAAATGTTTCGCGGACTGAGCTGAGAGTTGAAAGCAGGTAGACAGCTCGGACGTTTCGCGACAACCTCAGAAGGTGGCCGCAGACGGCAACGTTGCGTCGCGATGTGGGCACAAGGTTGGACATGGTCAGAGACGGCGGCGCTTCGAGCAGCGAGCAGATGCCGTGGGACTCAGAGAAGAAAAACGCTCGAGACTGTAACGACAGCGGGAAACCCGCAGACATCTGAGCGATCCATCTTCATGCGTCACCAGGCTCTCCAGCCATGTTCCCGAAATCTTGAGCTTGTGATACAGGTCGCGTGATGGCCATGGCGGCCATGAGGATTCCAAGCTGGAGGCGGGTAGTGTCGTCAGCACCTCATCAGTTCAAGGTTGCCCCTGCCCTTGTAGGCTGTGGATCTGCCACAGCGACTTAGGTCAGCAGCCCAGTGTGCCATAATTTCATGAAGCTCACGACAATGCAGCAAGCAATACAGTACCGTTTCTTTTCCCTTCTCAACCCTGGCTGAGAGGGCGCAGACCACATGCATGTATTCCCAAGCCGAGATACGAGCTGTCGCAAGCCTTGGGCTCTCGGCGAGTAATCTTTTGATTTTGTCTTCCAAACATCTTGCCGTGATAAAGCGTGAAAGCCCAGTTTCAGCTCAGAAGCTGGTCGGCACACCATCCGGTCTGGGAGTATAGCATGTGTCAATGGCTGCTTTAAGCTCCTTTGTGCAATTCTGCCCAAGGACAGAACTGTAGGGCCGTGCCTCTTGCAGGTTTGAGCTAGCCACTGGCAAGATGTCCGTGGACCTCGTGGATGACCGTTTCGACGAGGTGGGCTCAGAACGGATTCAGATGATGAGGGAAGGACCTGAGAGACCAAGCAGCGCCCGCGTGCATGCGCCCAGACAGGTAAGGCAGGTAAGGAGAGTGTCCAGGGTTTCTTGATCTAAAGTCCTGCTCGTCATTGTTCGTCATACATTCAGTACAGCAGGTACCAGACCGAGAATAGGTGCACGTTGCTCCAAGGAGATGCCGCTCTCGATCCGATTATGAAAATCGCGGCGTTTATGGCAGGCGCAGCAGCAGAGACGACAGCTGTTGAGTCTGACTCTCGGATGCTTGGGAAGCTTCTTCAAGGGGACGGCTGCGTGTGCCCGAGGCTTATCCCTCCATGAAGCAAGCTGGGCGGTGGCGACGGCAAGTCGTTGGTTTGGCAGAAGAGCTACTACGAGCTACCTTCTGCCTGTAGGTCACAAGAGCATGGCAGGGCTTCGTCTGTCAGGAGTGAGAAGGTGCCGAAGGTGCCCACATGCCCCCACTTGGCAGGTTGATATCGATATGCTCACGGACAGCCTCGGAAAAGATGCCTTCGAGTGGCGTCGTGAACTTAGATGGACAAAGGGGCTGAAAAACCGTTGATGTATAGTGGACTTGGGTTGTGCTGAAAAGCAGCGGCCATCTGCTTCAGGTGTGGAAGGAAAGCTGAAGACATTTTCCGTCATGCACTGAGCCAGCCGTACCATGTGCATGCAGACTGCAGGTGCATTCAGTGTTTGGAGCTTGGGGAGCTTGCTTTCCGGCAGTGGTGCACTTACTAGGATCTATCAGTGCAGTGGTTTTGCTGCTGAAGGGCTCCAGCAGCATGCAAGATGCAAGATCGGCAGCGCACAAGCAATTGAGACGAGGTAAAATAGAATGCTGTTGAAGCGGATGAAGCACAGCATGCGTACTTCAACGCGTTTTTGTAAACCTAGATGATACTAGCGTGAACCGCAGCTCCCATGACGCAAGCTGTTGTGTCCCAGCTGCACTAACTACATGTTTTGTGATGCTGTTGTGCCTTGGTTTCGAAAGTGAATCGGAGCAGCAGACAGGCCATGCTTCGGACTTTTGCTCTGGCATTGGTCCTGGGCACCACCTTCAATGAAGCGCAGAAGGCATCTCCATTTGGCACTGCTTGCCTCCGCTGTCTTGGTCATTCCCAGTCTGAGGCATCGCCCGCACCTGCGTCTGCACTGAGTCGCAGTGCGGCGAATCAACTTCGAGCCGCGGGCCCTGTAATGCCCTGTGCATCTGACATTGAAGTGGAACTCAGATTACTCTTGTGCTGGTGAAATGCACTTCAGCTGAGTCTGCCAAGGCAGTAAAATCAGAGCTCAACACTGAGAGACGTATCCTGGCGATGGCAGCTGCCCTGTAACCTTCAGCTTCATGAGGCAAGCGCCCGAGCTAGAGCCTCAGGTCCAAAAGCAGCAGTCAGAGACGTCGAAGAAGCTTTCGGACCGCCTTGCAGCGAGTTGCCATGTTCAATCACGTCGCGCTTCGGTAGTTGACTCCTTGGCGGTGGCTCCCATGCCATGAGATGGTGAAAAGGAGAAAAAGACAAAAGCTGGCAAGCTCACGGTGCAGCTAAAGAGGCTAAAAGTGCTCAATGCAGAGCTGCAATCCGACGCAAGATGCCAAGATTCCTTCACAGCACTGGCCTGGCTGTTTGGGTCCCATGGCCAGTCTCAGTAGTGGTGTTTGTCCGAATTCCTCAACTCTCAGGAGAAGGAGAAAGGTACAGTCATCCTCGAGGCTAGTTGTGCATGGACTTTTGCGTAACCAGCAGAGCTCACCAGAGGTTCGCTGCATGCCAGGCGAAGCAGCTAAAACCTCTTCAGGCTCAAGACCAGGCATCCATTGGACTGCTGCCTGACAGCAAGTAAAGGCTCAGGTCCCAGGTGAAGAGGATAAGCATCAGTGGCAGTGGCTTTTCTCCTTCTAAGGCTCAGCTTGGAGCATTCGTTCAACGAGGCACCGTTTGCCAATCGGATCCACAGAGCGCCGAGCACTGCCGCTGCCTGATGGCAAGACATTAGATGTCTGAGGACCTGGAAGCTGTCACGGAAAGTCGGGCCAAGCAACAAGCTGCGGAGCCTCGGACTTGTTAATCTAATCGCATGCAGATGGCAGGGTATGCCAGCTCCGAAAGCCTCGCAAGCTGTGCTTGTTTGCAGTACTGAACGTGCTTTCATCATTTCAGGAGATGAGCAGCCTGAATGCCCAAGAGATGCACTACAGGTGCTGCCTCTAAGTATTCGTGCAACAGCGAAGCACGGACAAGACTCTCGATCTTGCAAGGTCCGAAATTCAGAAGATCAGGCAGAACCTGTCCTCAGCAGAGTGTGCACCTTACCGGCTCAGCAGTTCCGCGGATCTGTCCTCGAGTCTTGTGCTGAGCCAGTTGGCGGAATCAGCGCAGATCCTCCTGAAATCGTTGTCGAAGGTTGGCTGTACGACGAGCTCAGCAGGAGGCAGCCCCACTTTCCCAGGCCCTTGACATGGAATCTTACTGCTTACCAAGCTATGTGTCAGAAATGACCAGACCTTTGAAGGACGAGCAGCAGGCAGCCAACGCGGAAGCACTCTTGCAAGAGAAGGTGCAGAGCAGGCGCTCGATTATCACCAAACTCGTGGCAGTGTGCCTTTTTCAGCGTCTAGAGTGCTCCATAGTCTGTCGAGACCTCGCGAAGAGGTCGGCCAGTGCACATGCCCACCGTGCTCGTCAATTGGCCCGCGGTGAGCAGCAACGTATGCTGTCAAAGCAGGAGGAGCTTGCACAACTGAACTTTGCCATCGGGAACAGTCACTCAGCAGCATTGCCTGAAGCACCCCACCCCAGTGTCAACAGACGTTCTCAATGAGACCGAGAGAGTTGAGAGACTGCTTGTAGGAGGAATCATTCGTGGGAGTTGCAACGCTTTAACTTCCAGACACGGCGGTATTCAGCAGAGTCTGCTGTAGCCGGCATCACGAGGCACCCTTCTCCTCCAGAAAGAGAAGAGTGAGCTCCAGGACGGATGGGATTTTGCGAGTATCTTGTGGAACCCCGACTGCCCGTTATTATGTCATTCGGAAAAGGCTGAGCGACTCCGAGTGGAGGATATGACACATCAGGCAGGCATCACAAAGACCTCAGCCGGACAAGCCGAAAGCACCGGCCCTGCCAGGCGACTGTCCTCACCGACCACCTGGCTTCCAAAGAGGATCAGCTGAAGCATGGACATGCCAAGGTCATCACTCTGAACAAGGCGCTCGGCCGGAAATCATTTTGCAGCCCGGGGTCTTTAAGAAGAAACAACTGCACGGAGGGAGTTGGAAGCCTCTGTATTTCTAGACGTCGACAAATGTGGAAACACTATGTTGTGCAAGTAGCAGGAGCTACGGTTTGTGAGTATGCTGGAAGACCGGTTGCCGCGGTACTGTAGCGGCTGCGAGAACAACGCGACCACGACGATGCGACATCAGCACCAGCAGCGGCGGCGTCGGCAGCAGCAGCAGCAGCTGCTGCTACAAGTACTACCACGACACGACGAAGATGATGACGACGACAACCACTTTTGCAGCCGCTGCTGCTGCTGCTGCTACTACTACTACTACTACTATTACTACTGCTACTGCTACTGCTACTGCTACTGCTACTGCTACTGCTACTGCTACTGCTACTGCTACTGCTACTCCTGCTGCGGCTACTGCGCCTGCTATGCTACTGCTACTGCTACTGCTGCCGCGACTACTACTAGTGCGACGACTTTAACTTCTTCTCTGCTAAGGCTAGGGGATATCGCCAGAGCAGAACGCTTTTGGTAATGATCGGTAATGTTACTTGCAGTGACGGCGACGCCGAGTGTCCCCTATGCGCGACTGGGAATGTGATAGCGACGCCAGTTGACCCTGTACCAGGAACTTGCCCAGAAGCACAACGAGGCGGAATCTCTGCATGAGGAGACGGCCAGCCTCGAGGGTCGAATCAAGAAGGAGAGCTTCATTTGGGGGCGGCTATGCGCAGTTGTGATGGCTCTGGTCTGTCGTTCGTAGGAAGACGACGAGCGGTCAGCATCATGATCGGAAGCAGCATAGCAGTTTAGCAGTATCGGCAAGATGTGACACGCGAGTGGAGGACATGGAGGCTAGCAGCAAGAACGTGACGGTACTGCTGTGCCTCTGCCGGCAAGAGAGTCATTGCCGCCGAAGGTGCCACATCTGTTTTTTCTGCAATCGCAACATGGCCATGCAATAAGGCAGAAGCTGGAGAGAAAGGCGACTGAACTGGACACGTTGCGCCAGAATGTCACTGCCAGTGAAGACCAGGTCGAGGTCAGAATTGTTTGATTTGCTAATCACACCAGGCCTTGGAGAGCTTGCATGCTCCGCAGGACGTGATGTCGACATTGAGGGGCTACATCGATCGCTCCAAGGCGGTTTCGGCGGTGCCAGTGGATTCGTGCGCAGTGCTCTCGAGCAGGAGAAGCTGCACAAGACAAAGCACCAGGCCTTGTTGCAGCAGAGCCAGGTACAGGACCTCAAGGGCCTGGTAGAATGCCTGATGTGATGCATTCTGCCAGCGCGGCCTTACGGCCAGGAGAAGACATCAGCTGCGTCCGGCCAGATCCAGGCAGCTGTTGCCTGTTTTTGACCCTTGTTGTTGGCCTTGGCGTGCCAAGCGATCGCATGACACGAGGCTGCACGCAGGGAGACTGCAGCTGTGAAGGCCGAGTTGGCTGCAAAGCTCCAAGAGGCATCCGCATCCAAAAGCATGCCAGAGCACACGGACCCTGCACAGACGTCATGGCTAAGGAAGGCTACTTGTGGTTAGCTAAGCACATGCTGCATGCATTGCTTGGCCGGTGCAAGTGCATCATGGTGCAGGTGGAAAGCCGCGCCGCTTCACATGAAGCTGCGCCCCTCTATCTGATTTGGTGAATTTGTTGCCTCGCCTCGCCACAGCTGTCATCTTTGCTTGAACAGCATGTCAGCATGTCGAAAGCCATGTGTCTTCTGTACGCAGAACAGTGCTATACATCTAAGGGAGTTGGAGATGTACCAGAAGAGCCACAACACGGCGGCTCTGCAATCTCTACAGTCGTCTGCAAAGGCTCACCTTTCAAGCGAACGCGACGAGAGCACCAAACCCGTAACGAGGGAGAGGGTGCGTGTGTGTGTGTGTGTTTTGTCTCTCTCTCTCTCTCTTTTCCCTTCTCTCTCTCTCTCTCCAATTTTTGCTCTCGCTCGTCATGGATTTGGAGGCGAGGCTGCAGGCGCAGAAGCACCGGAACGAGCGGCAGATGAAGCTGTCGAGCTTGATTCAATACCGCGCCTCAGCTGAGCTTTTCCTGAGTTGTGGTTCTTCTGAAACCCACGTACAGGTGTAATGCATGAGCTCCGGCATGAAGTAGCGATCCCCTCGGCAGGCCTCCAAGCAGAAGTCCAAGACACTGCAGCCGTTGCGGAGTCGTCCATCGCTGGCTCTGCATCAGCGCACTTCTTAAACTGGTACTGTAGCCTGTATCAGCGCCTGGACAAGCGACCGAGACAGGGAGAGAGAGAGAGAGAGAGTAGAGAGGGCGTGGCAACTCCCCACCACAGCCCTGGCGAGAGATGGTGTTCCTACAGGGCGGTGTTGCGGCGGTTGCGGTTGTGAATCCACCGGCCTCAACTTTCGAAGTTTTCACACC